TCTGAAACTTGGGGGTCTTTTTTAGTCTTAAGAGAATTAGTACTGTGACAGCAGCCAAGAACCTTGGGATCTCTTTTGCCTTTTTTTTTTTTTTTTTTTTTGGTACCAGGGATTGAACCCAGGGGCACTTAACCACTGAGCCATATCCCCAGCCCTTTTTATTTTTTATTTTGAGACAGGGTTTTACTAAGTTGTTTAGGGCCTCACAAAGTTGCTGAGACTAGTTTTGAATTTGCAATCCTCCTGCTTCAGCCTCCTGAGCCCCTGGGTATTCAGGTGTGTGCCACCATACCTAGCTCTCTTTTGCTTTCTTAAGAAAGTAGTACAGATATTTAGCAATATAATGTTAGAGTAATTCCAACAAATAGTTGGACTAGCATTTATCAGTGTCTATCAATTCGATGCTCTTAGGTAATATAGAAATATGAGGGATTGTTATCTCCCAAGTACTAGAATCAAGGAGCTCATTTCCTGGTTTCAAGGAGAAACTAATTATAATATAAGTAACTTACAAATAGTGGGATTTCATACTTCTTAGAATTTTTTGTAGCAGAAATGGAATTTAATTGAATTTTCTGGTTGATCTTTCAGAGTTCTGATAACCTCTCTAAAATGAAGGGTTTGAAATCAGAAATATTTTTCCAAGGTCTGTTAATACCTGTAAAGCCATTTGTGCTTTAAAACTCCTATCCATTATTTTATTTTATGCATCCTATAAAGCCATTTGACTGAAATGTAGGAGTATAATTTATTAAATTGAAAAAATATAAAACCATGGAGATTTCTCAAAAGACTAATAATGGAACCATCACATGACCCAGCTATCCCACTCCTTGGTATTTATCCCAAAGAATTAAAGTTAGCATAATATAGGGATACATACATGACCATATTTATAGCAGTATAATTCATAATGCCCAAGTTATGGAACTAGCCCAGGTGTCCATCAACAGATGAATGGATTAAGAACACATACAATAGAGTTTTATTCAGGCATAAAGAAAAATGAAATAAGTTATTTGTAGTAAATGAATGAATGAAATTTAAGAGCATTATGTTAAGCAAAATAAGTCAGAAGGTCAAGAGTCTTATGTTTGCTCTCATATGTGGAGGGAAAAAAGGAAAAGCGGGGTAGGGGGGTCTCATGAAATTTGAAGGGAGATCAATAGACTAGAGAAAGGGAATGACGGGGAGAGAGGAAAGGAGAGAAAGGGGTGGAACTACAGAATGAAATTGACCAAATTATGTCATGTGTATGTGTAAATATGTCATAGTGAATCCCACTATTTTGTATAATTATAATGTACCAATTTAAAATATAATTATTAGAAAACAAGAATTTTCATGAGAAACAAAAAAACATTACGTAAATATTTTTACAGAAACAGGAGTGAAAAGTAAGACTGTTTAATTCAAGTACATAAATAAACATTAGCAAAAATATATATGAAACCTTTGAATGAGCAAATATTTTGAATAAAAATTCAGGTTATCTTGGCCTGCCTGAAATTAAGACTATTAGAAGATCAGCTCATTGATTATACTCGGGAAAACATTACGTAGATGTAGTTTTTATAAAGACTAGATATAACATAAAGGAGGTCCCAGCATACAACATCTTTCTCTTAATAGCCTAAGAATACTAATTGGAAGTCTTGGAGTTTCTCACTGCTGCACTTTTGCAGCTTTTAGGGAAAGGTTGGAGTTTTAAATATCCAGGTGATCTCTAAGACTCTCAGAGGATCGCCTTAATATTATTTGGATGGGATGTTCTGATATTGCCTTTTTGTGAGGAAAAAAAATCCAGTGATAGAATTAATTTTCATTTTTCCTTCCTACAGACTTCGCATATCATTTAAATGGATGGTTCGAGCTTTCTCTGGATACTTAGCTACAGACCAGCTTTTGCTTTTGTGGGATAGAATCCTAGGATATAACTCTCTGGAAATTCTTGCTGGTAAGAGTAAATATTTTTTTGTGAAATACATGTTGTTTTTATGGTAAGGTCCCCTTCCTTTCTAACAATTGGAGATTGAGTCTACTATTGTATAATTTTTAATGTATAAACATTTAATATATTTATCTGGTTTAGAAGATAAGTACAGAGATTCTGAAGTCGATATTTCAGTCTTTTAATTGCCCAATACCAGTCTACTCCTAGTTTGTCTTTCTTAGCCCTTTTCTCTCTCTCTTCCTCACCTGTCTCTTAGTCTAGCCAGGACTTACTGAGTCCCAGCACCTGTGAGTTCTGGGCAGCTTCTTTAGCATTCTGTTCTCTGTGCCCTACTCAACTGTACCTAAAATCCAAAGCAAGACTGAGTTTCCCTGCAGAGCTGAAATCTAGTTCTTCTGGGTCTCAAGTTATACTGGATTCAAAACTTTTTGTGTTTTGCTAATAGTCTGTGACTTATGTTCTAGAGTCTGAATTTGCCCTTTTGGGTATTCTCTCTTGACAAAAATAAATTTTTCTTGTTTTTTTTTTCAGGAAGCCAGATTCATCTCTAATTTATAATTAAGCAGTTCATGCAAACGATATACATCAAAGCAAATTTATAACACAACATACGCACTCGTTATATTATTTTGCAATAATATAACGAGTAAGTGCAATAGACTCAGTTATTTTTATCATTGGGATTATCAGGAAACAAAAATAATAATTGGGAAATCTTCCTAACAATAGGTTGATAGCAGAAAAGTTGGCCTACTATTTTCTTCCTTACCTGAAATATTTAATATTTTAAAATCACTGTATGCACTACGTTGGAAATATTGCTTAGTTGAAGAAAAATATGGCTCAAATATTCTCTAGGTACCATATTAACATTTTTTGAATGCTAAGGGGTTTATAATAACTGGGTGGCATTTTAAAAAGGAAAATTAGAATAATAATAAAGTACCATGAAGATAAATAGCATCCCTGTTGTAATCAGAGATACTCACTGACTGGGATGTTTTTAACTCCTAGAATCCTTCTCTCAGCTTTTTTTAAAGCCCATACAAATATGAGTGAGAAAAAAATGGTCTTCCCTCTTGTTTTTTGACCAAATGACAGTGATATGTGTAATCTAGAGATAGAAGGAATGCTAGAGGACATCAGGGTAACTTTTTCAAACATTTCTGACAAGTAGTTCTTATCCTCTGTTTGAACCCTTCAGTATTGGGTAATGTGTGCCTTAGCAGGAGGACCATTTCATTTCTGGATAATATGACTTGTTTAAATTTACTCCTTATAAACCAAGGTTATTTTTATGTTTTTTCTACTATTGTATCCTCACCTCTCCCCAAAGTCTTCCATTTCCAAACTAAGCAGCCTCCTTTTCTGCTACTATTTTCTCAAGTGACAGGACTATAGACAGTTCACCAAATAGCCTTACTCTGGGTATGCCAAATACTTTTATGAGTATCATATATAGCATTTGATATCATTTCAAAAAAATTAAAACTTTAAAAGAAGGGAGCTCAGTATAAGAAAGTACTTTCTAATAACTAGAACTTTCCAAAAGTAGAAAGAGCTCTTAAACTGTCACCTGACAAATCAAGAGGTTTTGTAACTTGAAAAAAATATTGAATTAGAAAGCCTTCGAGGCCTCTTTCAATTTAAAATCTCTCATCCTATGCCTTATCACCTTCTAGCAGCCTAAAGGAAAAAAGAAATAGATGTCTGTGGAATACTGTATTTTCTATAAACCAGGCACTATGCTATGAGCTAAATACATTAATGAAAAACATACTGATGAATAGGTGGAAAAGTAATCTGCACTATTTCATTCATCTACTTTACCTGAGTATCTTTTTAAAAATCAACAGGAAAGAATTCTAGAACATCTAGAAATGAAACTGGATAAATCTGAATTCCCCTCTCATGGAATTCAGGTAAAAAGCCACAGGGGTAGATAATTTCATATGGAAGTATACAAATTCGTTTTTTTTATATTTATTTTTTTTTTTAGTTGTAGTTGAACACAATACCCTTGTTTTATTTATTTATTTATTTATTTTTATGTGGTGCTGAGGATCAAACCCTGGGCCTCACCACACACTAGGCAAGCGCTCTACCACTGAGCCACAACCCCAGCCCCAAATTCATTTTATTTCATACATTTTTAGTATGAGTATTTTGGGACCACCTTTTTGGATAAAGTGAGTTATTGGTATTTAAGAATATCTTAATAAATATCTCTGGCTTAAATTGCAAATTAGAGCCTTTTAAAGAACAATTTAAAGCAATGGTATCCATGTTCATAATAGTATAATTAATGAGAATAGTTTAAAAGATAAGACATGAATATTACAGTGTCCACATTTTGTACAAAGCATGATTTTGATCAGAAATATCCAGAAGTTTGTTTCTCCTTGGCAAACAAACCTGTTCTGCAGAAGGACTGGGCAGATTAAACATGAAGCAAACAGAAAGGAACTTCTGTGATGTGACACAAGATAAATAAAAGTTATGAGCACATAAGCATTGTGGATGCTGAGGTCAGTTAGTAAACTGCTTTCTTCCCCTTCTCTTATCTGCTCTTGGCAAAACAACTTCCCACCATGTAAAGGTCTTTTCTGATATGGTAGAAAATTTGCATGTCCTGTCAAGCTTTCAGCAACTCAGTTCAGTTATACACAGACAAGGCAGTAATGATCATGTTCCTAGTTCCTCCTATGAGTCCAGATATTAGGAAGCTACATAACTGGCCCATAGAAAATGGTTTCTTTTGATATGCTTATAAACATGGAGCTCCATGACTTTCAAATACTTTTCTTTTTTTCAGTTAAAGAAAAATTCTTTGTCCCAAATCTCTTGTTACACATTGAATAGTTGCAGATGATTTGAATTTAAATTTTGTTTTACTACTATGCTTTTTTTCTTGAGAATTTTCCTCTAACTGGTTCTAATGTTTTTTGCCAGATTTTCCAAAATCTCTTGTTCCCTAAAAAAGTGCCTGAGCTTCCCAATCATTGGTTGCACCCCACCCTGCTTTGGGAAATTAAGAAGCCTCCCTCCTGATAGCCACTCCTCAAGCACAAAACACCTGCTGCCATGGCCAGGACACCATGGTGTCATCCTGCATGCCATCTCTGTGGAACCATTCTGAGGGGCAGAAGAACACATCCTGCATAGGAAAGCATATGGATTTTTATGTCAGGGATGAGTGACTACTGCTTTCCTCAGTCTCATTAGTGGCACCATGCAGTGGTTAGGTGCATAGATGCAGAGCCAGTGAAGACTGTTGGCTCTGCTGTTTTCTACCTGAGTGACTCTAAACATTCCCCCAGCTCACTGTGCCTCAGTTTCTACATTAGGAAAATTGAGCTAATAGTATTTAATTTATAGAATTGGTATAAGAATTAACTACTATTATTTTCATAGTAAAATGTATTTTTAAAAATTCACGTTTGCATGAATAATATAATATACCTAGAACCAGGTTCCAAATAATTCTTAATACCTATCACAACTAGTCTCCTAAATTTCAATGAATTGATGAGTAGAGAAAGCACTACTACCACTGGTGATGGGAGAAATAAAGGGAAGAAATCAAGCACGGTCTCCCGGCAATTCCATCTCCTTATCTGGATCACCTACCTCTTATTTTACATGGGTTCTTCTATTGTTCATGATTCATTCTCACATATAGTTTTATGGTAATTTATTTATTAATAAGTGTTTAATTTTAGCATGACTTTTACCTTATGCGGATTTTTAAAAATATTTTTTTAGTTGTAGTTAGACACAATACCTTTATTTTACTTATTTATTTTTATGTGGTACTGAGGGTCAAACCTAGCGCCTCACACGTGCTAGGCAAGTGCTCTACCGCTGAGCCACAACCCCAGCTCTTATGTAGATTTTGATTGGAAATAATATCTGTATTTTCTATGTAATGTATATTATTGAAGTTCAAATTGTTCTATAATCTACTTTTCAAAATTTCATCTTCCTTTTCCTTTAGCCAACATTAATGTGTCAAGATCAATCCCAGAGCAGTCCTCCCACAGAAATATCCATTTGTAACATGAAGAGACCAATGCTGAGTATATAAAATATAAATATAATCAAATATTATAAAAGCATTTTTTCAGAAAAAAGTTGTATTTCCATCAGGAAACTTCCTGGGTACATATAAAATGCAATCTGATATACTTACAAATTTGGCTTTCATTGACTTTCCCGAAGCTCCCCAAGGCATTAATAAGAAACACCTGTGTCAAAATAAACCTTTATTTTATAGGACAGTCCTTAGAGCTTCATGCCATGTAAAAACTGTTATAATTTAATTGTAGGTATGAAAGAAACATTGTATAAAATGACTATTTTAGGACCACTGAATTTTCCTTTTCGCTGAACTGGCATACAGTTTGTCTAGCCTTCAGTCATGGATCTCTACGGTAGACAGTTTCTTTTTATCACAAGACCTTAACTCAAAATGCAGGGGTGCAGCTGTGTCAAGCACTGGTCCTGAGCTTTCTGAGTGTCTTGTGGGCATAGCAGGAACTTTGCCAGCTGTTGAGTAGGCCTGCAGTTGAAATAGTGTGCATTCTTTTCCAGTCCTGGCAGCTGCCGTGTTTGCTTTCCGAGCAGTGAACCTGATGGAGGTGACATCACTGGCTGCAGCTGAAGTAAGGATAAGTTTCACTCAGATGGGATGGAAATAGTTCCTGAGAGATTGCCAGGCTCAGTCACTTTAGTATCTGATGCATAGGACACACTTGTAGCCCATTTTTTAACTCTGGTAAAACCTCTAAGTTCTGAGCTAATATTAAGTGTTCATATTTCCCTAAATCCCTTGAAAACAACCTTCTTACGAAGGGACCATATATGAGTTTATTATAGAAAACCATTATTACCATTATAGCAAGCAGAAACGTAGTAATTTTAATAGAAACTATTGAAGCTGTGTTATGTTTTCCTATTATTGTTTACATTCATATGTTATAGAATAGAGAAAAGCCAGTTGAGAGTGTTAAAGAGTGTGTGTGTGGATGATAATAATAAAGACATATCAGCTTTTTTTGGTTATTTTTATTGTGAGTTAGTTATTTAAAGCTGATTTATTTTCAATGGTACAATTTACACCTGAAATATGGTTCAATTAATAGGGCTTACCATATTATTCTATTAGTTACCACTAATAGAAATGTAAATTTTATCCTTAAAATAGCTGCCAATATGCTTTATTTAAAGGGAAAAGGATGTTTACGTGTCTTGCAACTGAATAAATATTAATTCCATCTCAAAATGATTTCCTGAAGTCAGTTACTCCTTAGACTATAATAACGGGTCTAGGATTCATAATGTACGTTTATTTATAGAAGCAAGTTGAAATGTTAGACCTCTTATAAACTCTTGCTACCTTGTATATTTGAAGAAGGCTCAGCCTGTGAAGGTCTAGGTTATTTTCTACTGCACATTTTAGCTTTGTGCACATGTACTAACATTAATGCATTCAGAAAAGAGGGGAGTTGTAGCTTTCATACAGAGATTTAAGATAAATCATGCCAAAACTACATTGTAATAGTGTTTCTATTGTATCTTATTTCCTAGACTTCACTTTGCAATTAATAATTCTTTTTGTTTTTCTATTTCAGGCAGTCCTTGCTGACCTTTCTACTTTAAAAGTTATGCCACTTCTTCAAATTTTCCTGTTTGCTACTGTCACCTGATTTCTTCAAGGTCATTGACAAGACATCTAGTTTTTCATTAGAAACTAATCATGAACTATGCAAACTCTGCATAAAACCAAAATTAAATTTTGCATATAAGCCAATAAAGATCATGTTCCCTCCTGTTAAAGCTAAGTCATTTTTCACTTTTTGAAACAATAATTCTGCACACCAAATATTGCATTGCATGCTGCTGATTTTCAAGAGAGAAGCAATAAACATAACTTCTGCTACATTGAGCTTACTATATCTATAATCCTGACTTGTTAAAGGCATGTAAGAATATATGCAATAAGAACTAAAAATGCTGTAATAAACTTCAAGAGGTCATGTAGCTTCTTGGACAATTCTTTTATGTCAGTGTATAAACTTATCCCTAGATAATGTATTATAAATGTTTGTAAATGTCTTAAGTTGCTCTTCCCCCAGAGCCAGGGGTAGAATATGATGTGAGAAGGCCTGAAAAAGGTACACTTTTGATATTAGTAACTTTTCACTCACTAGGGATTTTCTGCTCTCTCCATTTTATTTCTCCCTTAAGCATCTTTACTGGGAAAGGTTTAATACTATTTTCTCCATCTAGTAATATTTTATTCTTCACTCGCTGAAAGTCAGAACATTATAGAGATTTCCCTCTGCACTTCTCAATCTTCCATCTCTTGTTTAGAAGCTGAGGCCTGTTGTCAGGTTCTTTTCTTCTAGAAGAACACAAAGAGGGCATCCTAAGGAATGAAGAGAAAGAAGAACCAAAACCACATCCATTGCTGCTGGAGCTTGAGTTAACAAGATCCACTTCTAGGCCAAGCAGCTGAGGTAGACATTCAACCCAGAACTGAAGCCATGATGCAAGGCATTGTGTTGTATTTTGGTCTTCATTATAAGTCTAGGGCCTCATTTTATATTACTTTCTAAAGAACCACCTTTTCAGTAATATGGAATAATAGTATGTGAAAAAAAATCCAAAACCCATTGTCTTCTGACTATAGGTTCAAAGTCAAGAGGCTGATCACTTTAGTAAAACTGTAAATCAATAGATAAGATTCTTATTGACTAGGATTTTATTAAGCTTAATCCAGATGTATTTCATGAATATTTTATTTTGACAGTATATATTAGGAAATGTTTGAAAATTAGCACAAAACTTTAAAGATGATGAAGTTTAGTATAACTAGTTTATTGATTTGAAAATCTATTTATGTAGTTATATTCATCAGGTATTTGTTGACTTTCTAAGTAGTAAATATTGTGATTGATTTTTTTCCCATGAAGACTATCACTCCTGATTGATTCTTAATAAATTCTATTTTACTGCTTTTGAAGGTGACACATTTATAACATGCTTTGCCATTGAACATGTACAAATGCACATACATGGAGAGGATAAGTATACATCTATGACTGTTATCACTCACCTCCCTCATTCTAAAAAGATGACAAGAATATTGGGAAGAAAGTGTGGTTTAAATTATCACTGTCAAATGTGTACAGATACTACTATATTTGGCTTTCTTCTTTAGAATATTCATAAGCTTTTTTAAAAGAGATGATTTTGTAGTCTAATACAGAATATTGTGGATTTGGCCCTAGCTGAAGTCTCTGTTAACTGCAATTTAGGGATGGGAGGGAAATGGACAGTAGAAAATTATTGTATCTGCTCTGTTTAGCTTACAAGATTATATAAGAGCAAATAAAAATATATATTTGAAAGTGATTTTTAAACTGCAAAGCACCAAGCAAATATAAGATATGGTTGATAACTAATTTCATATGTGACATTTTAAAGTCAAATGGTACAGATAATATATGAAGATTGCCCAATTACTTTAGCATTTGTATTATTTTTTTTCTTGAAAATTTGAGACTATGTCTCTAAGAAAATAAGTGGACTATGACAGAGCAGATTCTTTCATTTGGTACATGTGGCTCTAGCAGTAATTCTGAATCTCAATCCCAAAACCAAACCTGGTAAGCAGCCATATGTTTTATTGCTATCGCAGACTTCTCTGGTATGCCCTGCTCTTTGCTACTTTTTGGAATACTGGAAGGGGAAATAAGGCTCTTCCTATCTCTATCTCTAACAGCACTTCCTCACACTACCTCGCTTATCTTCCTTCCATTTGCATTCTCCCATGTCACCTCCTGTCTGCCACTAACACTGACTTCACATCTGCACTGCCAGTGATCCCAGTATCTGAGTGAGCAGTGGTAATTATTCTATCAATGGCCATTGGCACTGATGAAGAAATAGCCTGGGCAAATTATGTTTGGCTCTGCTAGATTTCAGTTGACCCACTAATGTTATATGCTGTGACCTAATATTTGGAAGAGCTTATTTAATAATCTTTTTATCTGAATGTGTGGTAATCCAGTGTTCTGCATAATTGAAATTTCCAGCTTGTCTTAACTGCATAGCACCCTGTTACACTCAGCATGCACTCTCCTATTTTCCAAAGAAACTAGAAACCATTAGGCTTGAGCCTCCTCAGCCTTCAACTTCAAAAGTTAACTTTGTTCCCCATGCTTAATTTCTTCCTTCTTGTCTCAAAAAGTGTCTAATCTATTCCTATAGTTCTGTAAATGCAGATTTGATTGGGTCATTTCTATTCCTAAAAAAATTCACCAACTTCTCATTGCTTAAAGGGTAAGTCCAGATTCTGTAGCATCACAGGAATAATTCTTCACAGCTGGATCTTCCCATTTCTATGCTCCCACACTGATCCATTATCCTAAACTTTAGCATCACCAGATTGCATGCTGATCCTAGACCAGCTGCAGCTATTCATTTTGTCTCTGCCAGAGGGATCCTCTCCATTTTTTAAGGTGCCCCTCAAAAACTTTCTTCTGTTGTAAAGATACCCTGGAGCTTATAAATTAGCATTACTCCCCTCTCTTTGTTCTCCGTAAAATTGTTTATCTGTTCATATGGTGCTTATAATATTAAGGGGTTTTTTTTTCTGATTGTCACTTTATTCCCAAGGAAATTTTTGTTGACTCATCTTATATGTAGAAGTTACAAGAAATTTGTCCATGTGAGTTTGTATCCTCTCACGTGATCCAAAATTGTTTGGATGTTTTTCTTGAAACATAATTCCCCTTCCATATCTATAGACTCCCTTCTTCCACAAAGTCTCTAATTTTTATTTGGAGTTCTGCCCCCTCCCCCATGTGCTTCAGGTGAGGCTACTCCCAACCTCAGGATCCATGGATTGGCCAAGGAATTACCTTTTGCCATTCCCCTGGCCATAGGGATTGCCCCAGGATCCAGGCTGTCTGCAGGGAGTGAAAGCCAATGAAACACCATTAGAAGACTTGGTTTAAATTTTCAGGGAACTTTCACTGTGAAAAAGGATGCAGAGTCTGAGCTTTTGCAACCTAGGAATGGAGAATGAAAAGCTCTTCTTTGTCTTTGCAGGCTTCCCATGGGCCATTTTGTTACATGAGCCATAGGATTTTCCTTGCAACAGAAGGATCCTAACTGCTGACAGTTACTTCCCTTTTAGGTGATCAGCTTTTTAAATATGGGTACCATTAGGTACAGAACCCCTGCCTACACACTGCTCAAACTAGAGTAGTATTTTGTTACCTTCTTTCAATCAAGATGCAACCATGACCTTACAAGGACCTTAGGAGGTCTACATTTTAGACCTACTAAGCTACTTGAAGTACCTAACAGGGTATATATTTTGCCTTTGGTCATTTGCTCACAGCTCCCTCTGCTTAGAATGCCTTCTCTTCTCTCTATCTAACTGTAACTTGTACCTCAAAACCCAACACAGGGAAGACTACTCCTCTCATGAACCCTCCTCCAACCCTTAATATACATATGTTATATCATGATCGTATGTTAGCTCATCTTTCTTTTCTGCTACTCTGAGATGCCTTGTCTAGTAGAAAATGTTTTGGTTTTTTTAGCTTTAAGTCTCTAGAATCTAACATAATGGCTTGCCCCATAGTAGACTTAATAAGCGATTATTAAATGAACAAGTGAAGTCATCTAATTTAATTCACTTACTTTACTGATAAGGAACTTTCTGTGTTCAAATAATAACTTACCTGTCCAGTGTTACCCAACTATTTTGTCTACCACGTTGATTTGAGACATTGCCTATGGAAGTTCAAAAAAGAATTATTTTGAGGGAAAAAACTGCAAATGCTTCACTTAATTTTTTTTCATTTAAGTCAACTTTATTATGGTATAATTATATACAATAAAATTATATGTTTTAAAATAAAACTCATTTTAAATGTGCAGTTCCTTAGGTTTTGACAAATATATGTACCCATACCACCACTGTCACAATCAAGGTACAGAATATTTTTATCATCCAAAACAGTTCTTTTTGTGCCCCTTCCCACTTATACACACATTCACTCCAAATACTCAGTGATCTACTTCCAGCTCTAAAGATTAGATTTCCCTTTTCTAGAGTTTCAGCATGTGTACTCTTCTGTGTCTGTTTTAAGATTTCTTCATGTTATTATGTAATCAATAGTTCATTCCTTTTTATTATTGAATACAAGTCTTCATAAGGATATATATCTTTATTTCTCTGGGGCAAATGTGTACTAGTATAATTTCTATATAATATACAAGCACATGTTTGACTTTCTAAAAAGCCCTCAAATTTTTTCTGAAATGGCTCTACCATTTTACATTTCTACCAGCAATCTCTAAAAGTTCCAGTTATTCCATATCCTTACCAACACTGGTATTAACATGTTAGTAATTCTAATAATTAGTTTTAACTTTTTCTCTAGTTACTAATGAGGTTGATCATCTTTTCATGCTTATTTTCCATTTATATGTACAATATTCTTTTGTCAAGAGTACAAAATCACCTTTAATCGATTGTCTTATTATTAAATTGTAAGAATTCTTTACTTAGGCTACATTGTGTTTTTTGAAAATCTTCTCCAAGCTTATAATTATCTCATAATTTTAGTTATTCTTTTAAAGAGCTAAAGTTTTTATTTTGTTGAGGCTTAATTTATTTTTATTATTTATATTTTTGGCATTCTATGAAATCTCATCATAACTCCAGGTCACAAAAATTTTTTTCCGATATTTTCTTCTAGGAACTTTATGGATTTAAGTTTACAATCCATTTTTTAAGTTAATTTTTGTATATGGTGCAAGTAGAGGACTGAGCTCATGTTTTTACATATGCATATATACACCATTTGCTCAAAAGACTATCTTTTCCTTTTACATCTGCACTTTGTTCAAAACCGATTTGCATGTATGTGTAGGCTGGTTTCTGAACTTTCTGTTTTGTTTCATGGGTTTATGCCTGTTTTTATTCCAGTGCCACACAGTCTTGATTTTTATAGCCATATAGCAAGTTTTAAATTGGGTAGGGTAAGACCTCTAACTGTTTGCCTGTGTCAAAACTAATTTGGCTATTCTAGATTCATTACATTTCTAAATAACTTTTAGGATCATTTTTCAATTTGTACCAAAATGAGAAGGGGGGAAAAAAGGCCTGCTGGGATTTTTATTGAGAGAGCATTGGTTATATAAATCAGTTTGGGGACAATTGATATCATAACAATATTGAGACTTTCAATTCATAAATGGCATACCACTCTCTTTAGGTCTTGTATGATTTTACACAGCAGTATGTTGTGGTATTAGTATACAGTGCATAAATCCTGTTAAATGTATCTCTAATTATTTCATATTTTGATGTTATTGTAAATGGTATTTTTAATTTCTCTTTCCAATGGTTTTTTGTTAATATATAGACATACCAATGAATTTTTATATTGACCTTGTATCCTGAGACCTTGCTCAATTACTACTGCTACTGCCCTTTTTGCGGCTTCCCCAAGATTTTCTACATATATAACATCTATAAATAAAGATAGTTTTGCTTCTTTCTTTCAAATCTCTATGCCTTTTATTTTATTTTGCTTCTCTTACTAACTAGAACCTACAATACAGAAGTGTTGCAGCTCACCTAATTTTAAATGAAATGTACATCTTTCCTGAACAAATGTAACAAATATTTTAAAATATGTATAAATATAGATGTTGCCAATTTAGATATAAACATCAAGGAAAGTGAGATTCAGAAGGAAGGTCAGGAGAGACATTGACATACAATGAGATAAGCCTGGGGAAGTGTTATGTTGCTGATCATCCCAATGACTTCTTAAAATCATTCTTTTAAACAGTAGGTTTCAGGTATTGTCAATGTGCTTGTCACGAAAATAAGAAAATCGTTTTTTAATTACTTCAACTGTTATTTATCCTTAAAACTTTTCTCATAAATATGTGGTATGCATATATTTATTCAAATATTAAATGCTTGCTTTTAGCAAGATACTGTGCTGGACATTCAGTACATATGTACATTTTTGTGATTGCTTTTTCAGTAATAAGTGTGGTAAGAGATAGTACTTCCTAAGTAAAGAGAATCATCATATTTTTCTCCAAGTAATGGTTCCCTGCTTCCTATGGTAGGAAAAAAAAAAAAAAATCTTCTTCCCAGCGATGTTTATATCCTAATCCCTGAAACCTGTGAATATGTTACCTTACATGACAAAAGGGACTTGCTGATGTTCTTAAGAATTTTGAGATGGAGAGATGATCCTGGATTGTCAGATGGCCCAATGTTATGACAGGGGAGGTTGCTTATATGTGAAAAAGAGAGGAAGAGAATGTAAATCAGGGAACTGAAGGTGCTATTTGAAAATGGAGGAAAGAACTTATGAGCTGAGAAATACAGGCAACCTGTAGATGCTGGAAAAGGCAAGGAAATGGATTCTCCTCTAGAGAGTCCAGAAGTAATTCAGCCCTGCTGAACTTTGATTTTAGGACTTTTGACTTCCAGAAGCATAAAATAATAAAACAGTGTTGTTTTTAAGTCCCAGAGTGTGTGGAAACGTGTTACAGCAACAAGAGGAAATGAATCCACCTCCTCTCAGATAAATTTAGTTTACCAGATTAACTATAATATATGACAGTAATAAGTTCACATTGTTTTAATTTTTTTTTATAAAATAGGTGACTCTACATGTCTAATTTCTCTGGGTTTTATAATGATCAAAAGAGGCAAATATGTAAAAGGTTTTTGTGTGTGTGGTGCTGGAGATTAGAACCCAGGGCCTTGTGAATACAAGGCAAGCACTCTACCAACTGAGCTATACCCCCAGCCATGTAAAGGTATTTTGACAACTACTTTCTACTGTTCTGTTGCTGATACAAAAAAGACCACAGAACATTGGGCAAATACAAGGAAGGAAGAGTGATATTTGGGAAAATTTTATCATCAAGCTCTAATGTTTCCTTCCAGGTGGAGGCCTCTCACTGGTGTAATGCTCCTGATATATAGCTGGCTCCAAACCCCTCCTCCCTTGGAGATGAATGAATTAGATTATTGGCAGGTTGGGATACTAGAATGAGCATGTAAAGCCAACTTCCTCTCTTCTCTTTCTTGGGATCCAGAGAACATATGTTCTGCACTACCCCTCTATTGCCTAAGTATTACAAAGTCTTGATCCCATGGTATGGGATTGAGGTGGGGAGAGGGAAAGGGTATAGATGTTTAGTGCTGCCTATAACTAAGTGAATATGTATAAGAGTTAGTTTTAAAAAGTCAGTCTTTGCTGTGAAATGAAGTCACATTTTCTGGAATTAACTTTTCATTTGATCATTATAAAACCCAGAGAAATCATCTTCTTCTGCTATGAACAGTCTAAGTTTTAATTTTCTCTCTCAGGTATTGCAGAACTCAGGTCATGAAAAGCATGCTGTTTATTGGACTCCCAATCTCACTGAACAGGACAAGGAAGTTGAGGATTGCAAAGAAGCAATCATAATGATGGGTCATGTAATATAAACTAGAAAAGAGAAGTAAAAGGTGGGAACAAATGGTGATTCCTATAAATAAACCAGAATGATGGATTCAAGGTCAAAGCAAGAAAGTAAAAAAGCACTTTTAAAGGAATGGTCCTTTTCAAGGCAAGTAATTTAAAAGGTTCATATTTGTAGATGTTTGCATTTGAAATTTTGGAGGTTGTATCATTTCTGTTGATGCCAAGATGTAAGGCATGATGAATAACTGGAGTAGGAAAAAACACTATTGAAAATATGAGAAAGTTAAAACACCAAGAGTCCATGGTGTGAGATGAATCATACACATTGAAGTCACTAAAAAGAATCACAGAAGGAGGGATAAAGAAGAAAATTGAGTTATAAACTAGCTTTCCTGAGAATAAGAAGAAAAGACCCAGAGACTACTAGTAGATGATAGCAGGATGGAGGGGGCAGAGTGATATAACCAGATGGTGTGAGCCTCCACAGAGCAGAAGGGGTTTGCAAGAGGGAAGGGAGAATAACACTCTCCTTGGCATTAAGGAGTAAGGATGGTGCTGAAGCACTTTGGACAAGAGACAGAAAACTTCCTTTTAAAAGGGATACAGAGAAACTGTCCCCAGAATATATAGCCTTTTAGTTAAGTAAGAAGGTAAACAGAACCTTCAGAAAAGAGGTTACAAAACATAGTTTATTGAACTCACATTGAGAATTGGGAATTCCAAGAGGTAGATGGTAATGGTTTGCTTGGAAGGTAATCCAGGTCTGAGAGGTAAGGGTGGGGAGTTAGATCAGATGAAAGGAAGAAAGTTCAAGTAATTATGTCTAGGGAACTTGGAATCTGATAGAAATGGTGATAGACAGAGATGTATACATGGGCCAGTCTTCTCAGAAGTATCTGAGTAATAACTTCCACTGCTTGGTCCAGATCATTTCTCCATGTGGTAGGGCAGCTGCCTCCTCAGGAAAACTAGCATAGTCTACTATTGTCAGCTGCTTCTTTAGACACTCACTATGGTTGTCTCTGCTCTAGCACTATGCTAGTTTGGTAACTCACCTATTTATTGCTTATCAGTGAATTTAGTTCTTCTCTCTCCCTCTTTTGGCTTCTGTTTATTCATTGTTTCTACTTGTTCAGGACATGGAGAGAGACTATTTTAATTGCTCAGACAAAAGGAACTCTTTTATAAATGGTTGTGAAATAGCACAAATTATCTCTAATATGCATCTTAAATTTGCACCCATAACATTTATAGTATTCCACCAAAGACTTGGGTAATGAACTAACCCAAGAAGGGATGGAGGAAGAGAGGTAAAGGAGAGAAAGGGGATTTGGAAAAGGACATATACTTTTTGTGTTGATGGGTTTCTTTCCCTAGAGTAGGAGAAAAGTGGATAAATGAGTATTTTATGTGTGAGAGCCTAAAGAAAAAGGAAAGAAATGAAAGCATGTTTGAAAAGAAAGAAAATATGGGACTCCCTCTTTAAGAGTCATCCCCAAATTTGTCAGAGGTCTGGATAATGCCAGACTGGAGGTCAAGTGCAGAAATGGTCCAAGGGGGCTACTATGTGAGGGACAAGAAACTACTCTCTTAGGCAAAAGGCCAACCCAACACTTTAGGCCTAAGACGAGTCAGTGGCCTTAGCCAGAGAATGGGAGCAACACTCCTGACATTCCAGACTCCTATTACCAATATGAATATTCAACCACTATAAAGGACACTTCTCAGTATTATCTTCAGTTCTCTAAGAAACCACCAGACACCTATTCCATGTGAGGGAGGTAGTTGAAAGAGAAGGGGAGTGTTTCTATACCTGTACTTTGTAAAGAACCATACATATTAGCAACCCTGTACTGGAGACTAAGAAATTAGTCACCACTATTGCAAACAATTTTTTTAATTTGTTTATTTTAATTAGGTATATATGACAGCAAAATGCATTTCGATTTATTATACACAATTGCAGCACAATTTTTCATTTCTCTGGCTGTACACAATGTAGCATCATACCCTATGTGCAGTCTTGCATGTATCTAGGGTAATGATATCCATCTCATTCCACCATCTTTCCTACCCTCATGCACCCTCTCTACCCTCCCTATACTTTCCCCTATCAAAGTTCCTCCATTTTTCCCATGCCCCCCCATACCCGTTTTGGATCAGCATCCACTTATCAGAGAGAACATTCAGCCTTTGTATTTTGGGATTGGCTTACTTCACTTAGCATGATATTCTCCAGCTCCATTCATTTACCTGAAAATGCCATGATTTTATTCTCTTTTAATGCTAAGTAATATTCCATTGTGTATATATACCATATCCATTCATCTATTGAAGGGCATCTAGTTTGCTTCCACAGTTTAGCTATTGTAAATTGAGCTGCTATAAACATTGATGTGGTTACATCTATGTAGTATGCTGATTTTAAGTTCTTTGGGTATAGACTGAGGAATGGGATAGCTGGGTCAAATGTTGATTTCATTCCACATTTTCTAAGGATTCTCCATATTGCTTTGCAGATTGGTTGCACCAATTTGCAGTCCTACCAGCAATGTATGAATGTGCCTTTTTCCCCACATCCTCGCCAACATTTATTTTTGTCTGTATTCTTGATAACTGCTATTCTGACTGGCATGAGATAAAATCTTAGTTTTGATTTGCATTGCTCTAGTTGCTAGAGATGTTGAACATTTTTAATATATTTATTGATAAAATGTATATCTTTATCTGAGAAGTGTCTGTTCAGAACCTCCCCACATTTTTTTTATTACACTCTTCCAGAAGTGGACTTGAATCTCAACTCCACCTGTGCTAGCTATGTGACCTAAGCTTTGTAAGGTTTAATTTCTTCATCTATAAAATGCAAAATCAATGCTAAATGGGCTGGTTACTGTGAAGATTAAGAGATAATGAATAGGAAACATTTAACACTAGATTCTTTAATTATCAAGGAGAAAAATTATTCTTATCCTGAAAGATGTATACAATTAATAGATATATAGTCATGTAAAAAATAGTGAGTTCAGAACACTAGGACTCATCAGAAGTGCTCTGTCATTTTAGGGTT